CCATTTAAATTCTCACTGAAGGCATCAGAACTATGAATGAACACATGAAATCTGTAGTAAACAAGAAAAGTGTGAAATAACATGTTTGATATTTCAGGTTCTTCCAAACAGCCTTTGCTTTGAGTCCTGCTTTGCTCACTCTTGGCGTTCTCTCCATGAGCTTCATGAGGTCGTCTCCTGAAACGGTTTCCAACAGTCTTGAAGGAGTTCCCAGAGATGCTGAGCACTTGTTGGTCCTTTGCCTTCACTCTGAGCTCCATCTCATCCCAAACCATCCACACTGGGTTTAGGTCAGGTGACTGTGGAGGCCAGGACCCATCAGACCAAAGCACAGATGTCCTCTGGTCTAATGTCCACTCCTTGTGTTTCTCAGCAGCTGTTTGACCATAAAGGCCTGATTCACACAGTCTCCTCTGAACATGTAGAGATGTGTCTGCTACTGGAGCTCTGTGTGGCATCTATCTGGGCTCTGATCTGAGCTGCTGTTAACTTGTGATTTCTGAGGCTGGTGACTCGGATGAATGTGTCCTCAGCAGCAGAGGGGACTCCTGCTCTTCCTTTCCTGGGGCGTCCTCATGTGAGACAGTTTCATCGTGGTCTTGATGGTTTTGGTGACAGCACTTGGGGACACATTCAAAGTTTTAGCAGTTTTACAGCCTGACTGACCTTCAGTTCTGAAGAAGGCAAGAAATTCCACAAATGAGCCCTGACAGGCTCACCTGTGAGGGGAAACATGTCAGGTGACGACATCATGAAGCTCACTGAGAGAAGGCCGAGGGTTTGCAGCGGGTCAATCTATCTACATCTACACACACACCACACACACACCACACACACACACACACACACACACTCACGCGCTCAAACACAGCTTGCTTGTGACGTGTACTGACTACTTTTTTTGCTCACCCTGAAGTGTTGACACTCCTGTTCTGTTGTTTTTGCCTCATTACTGTAAATAAATGCCATGTAATGACCAGTGATTGTTTCCTGTGGCTGCGTGGGTGTTGGTGGGGAGCAAGTGCCTCATCCATGCCATCTCCTGGCCCGCAGACGGGTTGTAACAACAGGGACTAGACAGGAGAGTGCTGGGAGTGTTTTTGTACTTACGTAGTTTGTTTTTCTAAAAGTAACCTTTTATTTTCACTCCTCACATTTTCAAAAACAGACTCATTACTTTGCATTCAAGAGGAGTTATTATTTGTTACTGCGAGCCTCCAAACATCAAACTGATTTAAGTCTAAACACGTGCATGGCAGTCCTGTTGTGTAACCGTCAGCAGAGGATGATGCATAAAAGAGCTGAAGTGTGTCAAAGTCAGGGGTTAAAACTGGGCTTCATGAGCTGCAGGGCTTCAGCATCTAGTCAGCCCCACAGAAGGTGAGTGAACATAAAGGGAGTAATGTGTTACTGAAGGTCATTTCAAATGCAGCATTTCTGCAAACACACAAATTGTTTTTGCGCAGTTTGTGTAACAGTGTGTTGCGGCTAAAGGTCCAGCTGCTTATTTGACAGGGAGAGAAAAGAAAGAGCTAACTTCACTCAGACAGGACGTGGCAGGAAGAAGCGAGCTTACATTTAAAGGTAAGGATGCTCGAGGGATTTTTTAAAACGAGATACTTTGTTTGGACATGTGACTTTTTTTTTTATTTTGAAACATGCTGCAAATCAAACTAAGGCATGAAAACCCTCTGCAGGTTAGTTTGCTGCACTGTGAGGACTTAAAGTAAAGCACAGTGTGTGCCTGGTGCACAGTGGCTGTGGGTTCATGGCCACAGTTAGCTTAAATCACACGTAGCAGAGAGTCACATGAATTTGA